AGAGAAAATTACATGCCCTGTGCAGTCTTTTTAAAAAATCTCCTATACTTTGAGAGTCAAATTTCATTAATTGGCTGTTAGTGCATCTCTTTGAACCATTACAGACTACATCCCAGTAAGAGACTCTGCATCAGTAATATATATGGAAAGTCTGATGCTGGTGAGAAATCTAGTCAAAATAAATACATGGCTAGAATTTTGGATTGACAAGGATGCATGTAACTAACTCGAGCTAGGACAAATTTGATTAGGATTACAGATTGTAAAACCTGTATTCCAGATAGCTAAGTCAATCCAAGTCAGAACCTGAAAGCTGTTCTGTACCCTTGGTTCTTGGAGTCTATCAGAAAGATTTCTTAAGAAATAGCAGTACCACTTTGCACTCTATACCACTAGTCTTACAAGTTCTGTTTTCTTATACTAGTTTCACTGCTATTTTCATGTAATACAAGCAAAGCACCTCAAATAACATCCCGTTAACATAAATACGCTTAAATATAATTTCTTATAGAAGCACAAATTTAGAGTAAATCTTGAATTAACTGATATTCTGGGATAGTGCTATTTCAAGAGGTCCAAGGATGGTATTTTGAAATATAGACCTACACTGTGTGAAAACCACATGCTTTTTTATCTTCCTACATACAGGCAGCTCCGACTCTTGCAGAATCAAGCACATACATTGTGAGCAGAACAAGAGACATGATGACACAACGGGATGCAATACAAATATCATTTGCTAAGCAGACTCCTGAAGTCTTGCAGGCAAGCTTCCCTGAGCGAGGAGTGCTGGCTGCCACTGCACCACCACTTGCACTACCAGGGAAAAAGAAACTCAGTTTAATTCTTTCCAGACCTGGGAATCTCAACCTTAAGAACTAATTATACACTCAAAGACACCCTCAGCAGTAAGATAACCCTGGGGATTTTTTTTGGTCCACTAGAAGTTAACTGTCCTACGAAGAGAAATTTACTTTCTTCTGGCCCCATTCCCACACACACTCCCTACAGCTATTTCCACCCACACTACAGCTCTTTTTAACTGTGTTTAAAAAGCTGAGAGAGAGAGAAATGTGCTGCTGCTGCTAGTGCTCCTCCTCCTCAGGTGGGCGGGTTGGTAGCTGGTCAGTTTTCTACAGCATTTCTCATTGCTGGATGCGTGGGAGGCTGAGAGCAGGGAGAGAAGGAAGCGGTCCTCTTAGGAAGGGAGGCATATCAAAGCAAGTGGGAAGCAAATAGCCCCTTCCCACCTGCACATGTGCAATTATATGCAAATGAAAAGCTAACACAATAGATCTGCAAGCAGAGCTTTCCAAGCTGTGGTCCTAAAAGGTATCAAACAGCTCGGGTCTCAAAGCCAAATTCGGGGGTGACCAGATCTCTAAGGAAGATTGCATTTTTCACTCACGAAGAAGCACAGACCCGTGGGGAGGGAAGGGAAGAGGGTGTTCCTTACAGTTATGGTTTTGTACGTAGGTGGAGGGTGGTTTGGGGGGAGGAGTGACAGATTGCTTGTGGCAGCAGGGAAGAAAGATGTAGGAGGGTGTTTGCCCAGGGTCCTGTCTAACCTAGGGGATACTGGCAGGGTGGATGCAGCACCAGTGGTATGTCTGAGCCGGGGCGGTGGGAGGGGAGGAACCCACTGGTGGATGGACCTTGCTTGGAGGCTCTCACCCGGCCTCGGCGACACGGCGGCGTCTGCAGCACCACCCAGCCACCCCCACGCTTTCCCCAGTGCCCTCTGAGGCCAAAAGAAAATGGAAACTACTACACTCACACAGTTTCATTACGGATTTGCTTTCATCCTTTTCCAAACACTTATATTTCCCCGCTGATAAAATGCAAATTAACTGGTGAAAAAAAAAAAGTTTTTTTTTCTTCCCCTCTCACACAATTTCTTGTTGCAGGAGAAATTCACTACTGCATGCATTAGCTGTGCCCTCATCCCAAATGTATGACATCAGATGTTATATGGACACATTATCTAAAACATCTCTGACCAAAAGCCCTGGGGAAGGCACTCTGTTCCCATGGGATTACTCACATTACTGACAAAAGCAGAAATTTGCTTCTCCATATTACATATGCGTTTCCTGTGTTTCAGTCCTTCCCTGGGCTAGCCTATTGTTAGCAAGTAGAGAAACAGATTAGTTTTCCACTTAAGTCTACTTCTACTCTCACTGACATCAATGGAAGACTCTCCACTGCCGAACTGAGCCTTTAGTATTAGGTGCCCACATTGGTCCAAGGAAACTTGAACCTGTGTCATCTGTGGAGGTGTTCTAGAGTATGGTCAGCTGAGACTGGACTGTGAAAAAACAGTTTGATGACTGCTTGTCAGTACAGTAATAACCAGTTAGCAGGGATGAACTGGAAGTTTTCCCATTCTATTCCTCAAGCCTTCACAGACTCATTTTTCCTTACCTTCATACACTGTAAGGATGCACTTACTACCCACACATAGAGAAATTAGATGCCAGTTGTTAGACCAGTAAATATTAAATTTACAGCAAGCCTGAATGCAGGAGCATGGGACATGATGAAGTACTTGTACCATTTATTATCTGGACTTGGTGGACTATACTGGGAGCCCACAGAGGCAAGCGAGAGATACAAATTAATGATTAATTAGGGGTATATAGGTGGCATACAGAGCGTAGCTGAGCTGCTCTTGGATTCCTTCTTGGGAGCAAGAGCTCCCACATCCTGAAGTTACATGTTTTTCTGGAAAAGAAACCAAAAAAACCCAGAAACAAAACCCGAAAACATCTGCTTAGCTCTAAAGTCCTCCTACAGTCTGCAATTTGTTTTCTCTTTCCAAACCTGCAGAACACACTGCCAGGAAATTTCTCCAAGGAGAGGAATTACAACCTGCCTATCCTTCTGGCTATTGCACTCAGATTCCCTGAGCTCCTGGCATGGTTACTAGGGGTGCTGCTCACCCCTAGTACATCCAGTCTCCTGCAGCCCTCTCTGCTAACAGTAGCATCATTGATAAACTCCCAGGTTAAAGGTCATCTCACTCTGCTTATTCTCATGCAACTCCATTATTTTCACTCTTTTTCCTGTTTCTACTCGTAGAAGTCTTTTACTTACTTTTTAGAAAACACTCTCACTTTGATATTGGCACTCCACAAGAAATGGGGTGTGCATGACAACTATTAAAATACAGGATGATACCTGAGTTACTTTCTGGACTGGCTTGCAGTCACTAAATGTCTGTCTGTGAGAAAACTGCAATTTTCTAACACCTACCACCCCACTACCCCTAGAAAAATCTATAGGTAAATTCAAGCCATCACCAACACGTTTTAAAATGAAGAATAACACTAGGCTCAAGGAAGATGGCTCTTCTGCCACCACCTCTTCTTCTTGAAATCAAATAAAAAAAAAAAAATGAAAGAATTTAAAGAAAGCATTAAACATAAATTCAGGTGTCAGCATGGTGGAAAGAAATCAGTCGCTGTCACAAGACAATGCTTGCTGTTACTTCATTGTTTACAAATAAGCAGGCCTCACTAGTTCTAAAGCAGACATACAGCTGGAAGACAACAAAGAAAGTGTCTATACCATTATTTATACCAAAACTGGGGGGAATAGATTAAGATCACCATAAGTAAAAGATGAATCAGACCACTGACTTCTATTTTGGACTCTAGAAATAGACATCCTATGTAATACTGTCCTGATCACAGCCTTGCCCATGTACATCATGTGCAGGTGGAATTTATTACGAGATTTCCAGAGGTTTCAAACAGCCTTCACCTGCTCTTACCCAAGGTTAGCTTCTACACACTGATTTCTTAATTTTCACACCACCACTATCAAAAAGATTATCCTACAGAAAGGTTCTATTCATATTTGCCTGTGAAATGTACAGACTTTCAGATACAGGATACTAAGTACAAAAATGTTATCTGCTTGTTGAACTGTTCATAATTTGGTTATACCTAGATAAGAGATGCAGTTATCTCATCCTCAAAAATAATTTTTTAAATATAAATCTAAGTAAGGGTTCAGATTTGGCAACTGTGATAATTTGGTGTCATTTAGAATGGTTTAGATTTAACTGCATGGTACTTGCTGTAAAACAGCATAAAGGGCTATATATACTCAAGATGACACTAATAGGCTGCATCTTTGGTGATTATATAATTTGTAGGTAAGAACTCAAATAGTCTGGATTGCCTAATTAATTCAATTAATTAGTTCACAGTAGGCAGTCTCCCAATGCCTGCAAAAGCACCTCATGTCCTGTTCTGTTTTGTTCGCAGTGTACAAGAATAAAAGCAGACTGCATTATACAGAAATGTTCTGTGTCTTTTTTGTGCCTCTTTAGTTTGATTAAGATTTTTACAACCCAATTTAATATACCCTGAGTTACTGCAACGGAAATGCCAATACAGATGATGCTGCTATAAGCAGGGTCTGAATCACTGCTTGAAATGAAGAGCAAGGTTGCCCTCTGGGGACTTCTCTAGAAGTGCTTCCAAGAGCTGGGATTTTTTTGTTTCAGCAAAATAATTTTGCTACAAGATTTTAGGATTTTTTTTTTTTTTTTAAATACAAATGTGAATTAAGACAGCCAGTGTTAACAACTTTTAACACTGAGAGATGATGAAGCTACATTTCTATCTGAAGCACTGTGTCATCATTTACTCTGCAGTTCATCACACTTTGCAGTATCAGTCTCCTGCTGGTATGTCAGCCTAAAAAAATCACATCTGACGTAGTTACTGAAATAAAAGTGAATTTAGTATTATGGACTCCTAGTTTGATGTCCATGTCCATAAACTCTCAAATGCTGTAATCTTCTGTTTTTTAAAGAATGACAGTTTTCCTGGTTGCAATTTCTGAGTCCATTTACACAGAAATCCTGCAGTATTTGAGCTCACAGTTTTGTCTCTAGCTACTGCTGGGACAGTAACCACATTAGCTACTTAATCCCTGTATTTACCTAGTAGGATAACCAGTTTTTGGTGGGATGTTACAGCTCCTTAATCCCAGCTCACTAATCAGTGTGTCAGTAGCTAAAAAGAGGGCAGCACAGGTGTGACTGGAGGTGTGAAGGATGAGGAGAAACTGGGAGGTCAGAAATTAATAAACCGGTTTTGAAGCTGAAAACAATACATCATCAAAATGCAGTTTCAGTCCACAGAGTTGAGCTCTGAAGGTAGTCTGGCAACGTGGCTTTCTCCACCTTGTGCACTACCACGGTTTACGTTACTGCTACACGGGGTTTTGTTTGCCTCACGGAAGAGGGAGCAGCCTCACCTCAAGCCCTCACGCCTCCCGGCCGAATCCCGAATGAGGAGCGGCACCGTTTCGACCCAACTCCTGCCAAGGTAAGGAAAACCCTTCACCCAACTACCCAGCAAGGGGCCGGGGCAGCCTTGCTGCCAAACCCCATGCCCTCGCCCGGCTGACCTGCCGTTGTTAGTCGCGACATTAACTGGAAAAAGGGCTGCTCGGGGAAGGGGGAGCAGGCGGCCAGCCTCCGCCGGCCCCTCCGCCCACGCCCATGAGGGCGAGCGGGGACGGGGGGGGAGCCCGGAGGCGGGCGAGCGGCCGCCCGGGAGCGAGGGGCCCGGCAGCGGCGACTCCCCGGCCTTGCCCGGTTCCCCGGGGCGGGCTGAGGGGAAAGGGAGCGCGGCCCGGCGCATGCGCCCCGCCCCTCCCGGCCGTCCTGCCGCTTACCCCGATGACGGCGATCGATCGCGCCGGCTGCCGCCATGGCGGCCCGGGTGCTGAGGCCGCAGCCCAGGTAACGGGGAGGCGGCGGTGGCCGCGCTGAGGGGCGGCGGGGCTTCTGCCGCCCCGCCGAGGGGCTTTAAATGGCGCCGGGCCGGCCGCGCGCAGCCGTGGGCTTGGCAGGCCTCTCGTGCCGGGGGTTGTAACCCCCCGAAACCGGTGTAAAAGATAATTTAGGCCTAGGTTAATTTTCACATTCTAAGACGAGCATGCACTTAGAACGCCGGGACGTTAGCCTGTAACTTATTAATTGCCTGTGTTTTGTGCCCTTAAGTAGCTGAAAGGGACAGTTGCTCGTTAGCGTTGATGCAAGCCAGGTGTCTGATGCCCATCAAATGCCATTGTTAACTGTCTTCCTCAGTAGAGTACAGTGACAGTTAATAAATAACAGCCTCATTACTTAAGTTGAGTAGCGTGTTCACAAAATGCCCCGGGACGGGTATCTCCTGTCAACAACGGAAGCATGAGCCTTGCTCAAGCTGTCACATAAACCTTATGTAAATGTTTATGCACATAAAGACACGAGGGCAGGTTTGTTGTAATGGAAGCTTTGGAAATGCACAATTTATTTGACAAGGCCTTTATTTATTTATTTATTTATTTATTAAATGCTAGTATTTAAATGTGCAGCAGGTAAATATCTTTAAAATAGGCACACACTGCTAAGGATCAAACATATCCCCAGTCTCTTTGTCTTCTTATTTCCAGGTCCTCCTAACTTGAAATTGAACACATCAAAAACATTAGTAGTTGGCATTGGTATCTGCTATCTATTTACTAGTGAAGCAGTATCCAACTCTTTTGATATCGAAATTGTGCTGTAATTTATTTGATTTTAAAAATGAGAGTGTAAAACAACTGTGTTCAGAAGTCTTTCTGACAAAGCTTTGCTTAACTCGGCAGTCACATATTTGGGGATTGTGTAGCTGGTTTATGGTTTGAGCTATCTTTTTAATACTTCTTTTTCAGACTGAAGCCATTCAACAGACTGCAAGTAATATTGCAACACTTGGTAAGAAAAGCATCTTTTTTGACTGAGTTAGAAGCTTTTAGGCCTCTTAAGTCCCCTGAGACAGGCAGCACGTGCAGCTTCTAATGTATCTGCTCACAGTGGTTCTGAATGCCATCATTTATTGCTCAGGCATAACACTGCTCAGGTCTTTGAGCACTTCATTACAACTTTCTATTCTAATGTAAATTAAAGCTTAATTATGTTGATCTTACCTACTTTTGTAGTGAGTTTATATGTTAGCTTCTGTATACAACTTAAATATTATTTAACTGTGTGTTTGAAATCAATTATTACAATACTTCAGTGATGTGTTCTCCGCTGTTACAAGTTACTTACAGTCAAAACAATGTGTACATTTGGGTTTGCAGTGTCAAACTGCCAGTAGGGACACACAGAGCTGTCATTGTTATAATTGTGGCAGGTATTTTCAGAATGTCAGTCTTAAGGAACCATGGTTTTGTGTTTTATTGTGTGGCTTTTTTTTTTTTTTTTTAATATGAACTCAAATGTCATTATCAAAGAGTGTGTGGCTCAAAAGCTTGTCTGAGGTTTATTACTCTGAAGGACTCAAAGATAAAGTGGTTTCAAAAGAACTGTTTAGGAAATGTAAATAAATCTTGGAGTACAGTGGGAAAGCCATTGCATCCTTTTCCAAAATGCATGTTTTATGATCTTAAAGAGTGAGTTTTGAGAATGTTTCCATAAACACTCTTGTGTGTTACTCAAGGTATCTAACTGATGACATTTGCTTTATCTATTTGTTTTTGCATGTACAGAAGATGTCTAAACATACAAATTCAACAGCTGAAGTGCTTTTGGAAAAGAGGGGAAGTGCAGGAATAATAACTTTGAATAGACCCAAGGCTCTCAATGCACTAACCTTTTCTATGATCCAACAAATTTATCCACAAATAAAGGTTAGTAACTTCGCTTCTACCCATGCACTATACATACATTATCCAAAACGAATTTTAAAATTCAGTCTAACATTTCTTAGTGTACTGATTTCAAGAATGAAAGTCTGTGTGAGTGCATTGGCCAATGGGCTCAGATTTGTAGGATGGGAAAGAACAGACAGTTTCAGGCAAGCTAGAAAGAGGAGAAAACACGTCAAAGGAACAAGCTGTCAGACAAAGTTAAATTTAGCATCTGGATAGATAAAGAGACACTCATATTAAAGCCAGAACTGAATTAAAGGCAAGGAGTGCTCAGCATTTATATATTCCTTTTTGCAACACACACCTGGTCAGTTGGCATATATGAATTCCAGGCTATCGGGTGGTGTTGCCTCTTGTTTGGGTGCATGTTTTGTGGGAAGGCTGTGTGGCTTAAATAAAAGATACAAGCCATTAAGAAGCAAGGTGCTGTTAGAGTCATTCCTTAAAGAACAGCTTTATGGATTTACAGGCACTGTTTCTACAAGGTAGTGAAGTAATGTGAAATTTTAAGCATGCTTATAGTCCTTTTTACTTTAATAATATTTGTCACATGCACAAAGTCAAACTTATTAGAAACCAGTATTTGTTGGATAGTTGTCTGCCTTTTGCTATTTTGGTAGGTGGTTGTGTTGCAAATTTATGCATTCTTTGAAGACCATTCAAAAAAAAATACTTACTCTGTAGTGCTGAGTACTAGGCTTTATTTGAAGCACAACCTTATAAGGTGGCATAATTTTAAGTACAGTTGCTGGTATACAGAAATGTTTTGTCTCTCTTTTATCTGGGTACACTTACTTGAATAAGGGATATATAAGCATAGTTTAAGGAGGGAATGGGAAAGCCTGCAAAAGGCATTTTTTTTCTCAATACATTTGCACCACTGCTGAAATCTTGTACCAGTGTATCTAATTCAGATACACACACCCACATTGCCCCATGGTCTTTGTACCTAGTAAAACATCTGTGCACAAACTGATTAACATCGACTGCAGTCATTTTGTCAAAATCCATCAACAATTTAAGTGCTTGCCATGCATTTTAGGTTTACACAGCTTTAGTGATTTGTCCTAAAACATTGCTATTGTATCTTCCACATTCCCAGCTTTCTGCCCCAACATTGTGTTCCCATACTGTTTTAGAGAGTGCTACCTTTCTTCAGATTGAGATCTCTGCATTAGTTTAAGTATGATTTGATTTGCTTTCTGAAAAAGTAAAATAAAAACTATAGACAGTATACAGAGAGAGCATTTTTTGCACAGATTTTAATCTTATGTGGACACACATACTTCTTTTTAGGCTTGGGAGCAAGATCCTGAAACTTTTCTAATAATTATAAAGGGAACTGGAGGAAAAGCTTTTTGTGCTGGGGGTGACATCAAAGGTAAGGACTGTAGTCACTTAAACATTTGACATATCTTTCCCAGTAACTACTTTGCACTGATTTCCTTTATTTACTGTGACTCAGGTAAATAGAGGCTTGCCTCACAACAATAAGATTAGTTGTGCTGATTTCTTAAGACACCTTGGTGTGCAGATGCTATTTAAGTTATTTGTCAGGAGACAGCTGTTGGAACATTGTATGAAAGAGTAAAAATTGCGGTTTTATTAATAACTAGTAATAGCAGCCAGTCAGTTCCTGGGAAGAGAAGGTTCTTGTCTCTACCTTCCCAGATTTTCATTACTGACAGTTTCTTTACAAGTAATTTGAAGGGTCTTAATAGGTAGCTCTGTTACTATTGGATAATTTTTGTCTGATGTTTGAGGTGGCTAGATACAGAGCTGACAGTGGTGATCAATAGACCCATGATTGTTTTGTAAGTATGAACTGTAGGAAATCTCCAAACCTGTGAAAGTTAACAGTTTTAAATTTTAGGTATACAAGCATATAGGTTATTGTTAAATTATGTGCTGCTCTAACTGACTTCTCATTTTTAGTATTCAGTCTTCAGTATAATCAGTTTTAAGTGACTGTTCTATATGTTGATACAAAATATCACAAACAAGACTACCAGACATTAGGAGGGGTAGCACAGAAAATGGACTGCACTCTCGCAAGTATGTGACAGTCTCCAGCATCATAGAATTGACTCAAATTTGAAACTTTGTGTTCATATTTAAGTTTGAGCAAATTTTATCAAATAAAATAAAGCAGAATTAAGTTACTGTTTGCTGTAGGAAAAGAACTGTTATCATGGGATATTAATTTTTCTACTTGTAGTTTCTGTTAAACTTACAGTTATCTTTAGAATATTTATTTCTCTTAAGCCATTGCAGATGCAGGAAAAGTTGGAGGTAGAATGACACAAGATTTCTTCAGAGAAGAATATATCCTGAACAATGCCATTGGTATGTTTAATAGCAAATTCTGTAGCGCTACAGTTTTCATAATAGTGGCTTTGAATGGAGATTCACTTTCTCTCTTTGCTAATCTATAAAAGATTGATAACATAATAGAAGTAGTAATTGTTGGTGGTTTTTTTTTTTTACCAAGTTCAATACCAGTAGTGTAACATATGTAATTTTTATACCTTGCATGCAGAATTTGTTGTTGTTTTTTTTTTTTTTAAACTCTTATGATAGCTAGCTTATCCCATCCCATTGTTCTGGGTAGTTATATTTGTGTTGTGCATGAATTAAGTCTGAGATGCAGACAGTGTGTTTTTTCACTAAATATCACTGATCTACTTCAGAGAAGACCAGAGTTAAAAATAGATGAGTGGAAAACCATTGATAGTCAGAAAGCAGATGATCAAATTATGTTAAAGCTGCCCATTTAAATAAACTGCATAAATGAGTATTCAAGCTATGAGTTAACTGCCTTAGTTTATTGCAGAGAACGTAGGATTACGTGGTCTTAAAATGACAGTAAAGATACTGGGTAAAGTTCACTGGAATAAAGGACATTAAGGAAGGATATTAATTCTTTAGGCTAAAAGTCAAGAATTGAATATTTCAGTGAGCAGAAACTTCTCCAAACATACTTTAATTGAACACAGTTTGAGTTTTTAAACGTTGTATCCAGTGTTAGTCACTACAGGAAGAGAAGTGAGCATGTTACCTATCAATTTAAATTCACAGAAGACCAGAGTTATTAGAATAACAGTAATTTCTGAAAAGTTATTTTTACTTCGTTTCACGGTTTCCAGTTTTAGCATGTTTATCATGTACCTTTCTTGGTGTCATAGAGAAAAATAGTTTAAAGTTTCACGTACTTGTGAAAAACTAGTATTACCATGGCAGTTGGACTAGGTAGTCATAGGTCTCTTCCAAACAACTATTGCAGCCTATTCAACTACTTCAAGGGTACATAGTTTAAAAGTTTGGATGCCTTTTTTTTTTTTTAAAGTATTAGGGTAGTCTGTGTCTATAATGCATGTAATTACAAAACCTAGATTTTTGATAACTGTGGTATGATTATATTCCTTTAAGACTGAGATTTCTGCCAAAAAGATTTATTTATATCTTACAACTTAAAAATACATAGGGGAGCTGCTTTCACAGGATTTGCCATTGGAAAGGCATGCTTCCATAGAAATTTAGTTCAAAGACTACCATCTAGAGCCCATGCATTAGTTCATATGTTCATGTGAGAACAAAGTTAAAAATGCAATTCTGTTACATTTTCTGATTACTCATTTGAAGGACTGAACTGCCTTTTAAAAAGATTATTTTTTTACACAAGGATCTATAGTGGCTACAGAAAAGCTAGCAACATGGATGCAGTGAATACCAACATCAGCAATCTGACTGAACTTTTAAGTCTGACCTGAAAACACTGAACATGAGGCAGTGGTTTCATTCACTGTCAACTTCAGAATCTTTTAATGAATGGCAATTGAAAGCATCAGGTCTTCAGTTTTATGCCTCCTAAAGGCCCCAACAGATAAAATGGACAAAACTGTGGTACTTTAGAATATTACCATCTCAACCAGCCTGCGCCACATTCAGGGTTGTAACACGCAACAGAGCTGGCAAGACAGAACATGTTTGCGTAGCAGTAGTTTACGGTCACATTTTGGCTGAAACCCACCAATGCATCTGGCTTTGTAGTAAAGTACTGGAGTGCTGGTACACACTCTGGGCTGGTAATCCAGGCTGTGAGATGGAGCAAAATGTAAGCTTGTGTACAAACATTCTACAAAGCTATTTATAATAGCCAGATGTGGCTAAATTGCCAGGTACTCACACAGCAAACAATCTGACATTTGATGGTTGTATAATACTCTCTTGCAACACTCAGAATGGAGTAAGTCAGTAACTGGTGTTTCTTTTCATTGCTTAAGAATTATATCAAGTGCCTTCATTATAAATTGGTATTTTTTGTTTAATTTACCATTTATTTTCTGTTGCTCTCACTGAAGCAAGACATGGGGAAACGTGTCATGTATACAGTTAGTCATGGGTCCACTCTTTAGAAAAAAAGGAAAATATTTTTTTTACATTTCTTACAGGCACTTGCAAGAAGCCATATGTGGCACTTATCGATGGCATTACAATGGGAGGGGTAAGTTAAGTACCTTGGTGTGATATCTGATATAATTTGTTTTAAAGTAATGTAATATTCTGTACTTGAGTTGAATGAAGTATACATGTGGCATTTCAAACAATTCAAGAACAAGCATCGTAATCTGAACCTTTGTCTCTTGCTTGTCAGTATAGATTGCTGCTCTTCTAGTGCTTCTGCTGTTCTTTGATAGCCAGGGCAACTGTTCTCTCTGATGATCTGGCAGTTGATAAAAAAGAGCAGAATCCTGTCACTGTAGGAAACACCCCTCAGAAAAGTTTTCAGAATACTGAAGTGTGAGTTTGTAGATCATACAAGAGCTGAGAAGAATTTTCCAGTCAAAGTATATTGAAAATAGGACTACATAAAAATATAATTGAAGGACAATTCTTTGAAAACTTCGAAAAATATAATTCCAAGCTGTATTTAACAGACATTCATGAGTTCTGTATTTTTCCAACAAATAATCTGGAAATGTACTTTCTCACATCTGCAGTACACCTAAAACATGAGTTGATAAGATCTGGATTCCCCCTACCCCTCCAAGGCTGCACCTTATTACTAAAGCACATGGAGAAGTCTCCATCATATTGCTAGTTATACTCAGTGCTAATAATTGTTTCAGCAATTGTTGGCTCTAAACACCATAAGCAGGTAGTTAAAAGAGCAATACCATGCTTTCCTACATGGTAAAATACTGTTCTCTTCACTTTGACATCTGTTGGATATATTTGCACCATAGCAGGGAGCAGAACACAGTAATCAAGTTATTTTGAACAATGAATTTGACAGTGAAGTCCATCTGCCATATTGTCACTTAGATTTATATTGTTTTCTTGCACGTCAGTATGATACGAGTGTACAGTCTATTTAAATTAAGTTTGTCAAAGACAGGATGCAAGAGGTGTAACAGTACATGATCCATCACCTGTCACTACTCTTCCCTTTCCATCTTTCCTTACACAATTTTGTCTCTTTTGGTTGTAGTCTTTTCAGCTTGTGATCTAAACATGATAGCTTTCTTTTCCTTTTCTTCTCTGCTACTAAGCCCCAAAAATCTCAGCTAGATAACCATTTTTTTCTCCCAATCTAGTATACATAAATTGTTTCCAGCATAAAAGGGACTAATCTTGTAGCTGTTCTTGCAGAAAAAGCTTTTTATTGAACATAAGAGACCTGAAGATTTGTGGATAAGAGACAGGAAGTCCATTTATTTTATGATGTTTTGAATAATAGCATGGGTAGCTATGAAAGAGCAAAACTGCCCAACAGCCAGTAGCTTTTTAGAGGTCCTATAGATTGCTCATTATGATTGTGGCCTAAGCAGGAATAGAATTTTTTCCTTTGAAAGGAAAGTGTTTGGACTGAAAAGATCATAGTTCCTGTATTATTAGTTCTTTTTCTTTTAAAGAGCTTTTAAAAGACAGCAGTTAATCTGAAACCTTAGTTGGATACCCAAATTTCAGTGAGACCTTGACAGAGTTTAACTGCCAGTAGAGTTTGAATGACAACTTGTTTGTTTATCCTCAGTGATGATATTAGTAGCAGTTCTCTTTATTTTGGAGTAGGGGACTAGATTTTGATTGATCGAGTATGCAGCCTAACTTAAGGGAAGAAGCAGGTAGGTCTTAAAGTCCGTATTACTTTTAAACTTTTTTTTTTTTTTTTAATGGTGAGTGCTATTTAATTTGTGCTTGTTAATGCAGCTGTAGTTACTCTGAGATAATGTCCTTCCTACAGGAGTGCATGTTTTTATCAACACATTCCCCCACCCCACTCCCCATTGGCAGTACATGGAAGTATCTACTGATAATTTAAACAAGGGAGGTCAGTGACAGTAATTCCTCAACACTGACTAATTTTTGTATATGTGTTTTGTGTTAGTTTTGAGTTGTATTCGATGCTTTTCCTTTCAACCACCTCCCCTGTCTAACGGATTTTTTTTTGGTTTCTCTGCAGGGACCAATGCTTACATAGGAAAAGTGCATTAACTTCCATCTTTCCCTCACCCTCTTCTCCCACCATTTTCAGCACTGGGGGCCTCATCACAATTGACCTTAACCAAACTTCAGGCTTGCAGCAGCTGTTCTCTGTTGTGGTACAAATAGGTTCACTGCAGTGGGATTTTATAGATTTAAACCTCTAGAACAGCCCTTGTTATGGTCATACTGTTATCTTGTTCTGCTCACTGTGTGGAAGTAATTTGTCCTGCTGTAATTATTCACTAGAACTGCATTCATACGAAGGAGTTACTCTATTCATGCTATAATTAAAGGCTTTGTTTTAAATCACTCAGATGCTAGATTCTATGTTTTTAACACAATCAGGTCATATTTCATATGCTCAAGGTCTGACTGCTTTAGTTCCTACAAGACAATGGGAGCTAGAAACATTTATCCCTTACAAACTACAGTAAATGCCTTTTGAAAAAACAAACTTACTTTTAAGCCCTTGGCTTTAGAAGCAAGTTGCTTTAGCTTGGTCTTAAAAATCAAGGGACACCTCAATTTCACTATAGACCATTTATCTATGAATGCAAACGCAAGCAGGTCAAACTCAAGCTTGCTCAGAAAAGCAGCACTATGCACATGAAGTGCTCTGTTGCTCTAACTTAAAATACATTAGAAATCTCACAAGTGTATTAGAAACTCAGTTATGCACTTAGGTAGTAAAAGTTGCTACTGAAGCACAGATACAGATTTGTCGTGGTAAAAGTTGGAATTGTATCAAAAGAATGAACTAGTTCTGCTTCAGCATTGTTGGCTACAAGAAGCTGCTAGGAAGCTTTTTTGAGAGATTAATTAGCCAGAAGATGGGGCTGCGGAGCTTGTTTTCTGCACCACCTTGTATACACTCGTAGTTCATGAAAAATTGATATTCAATATAAATGTATCTTTTCATCTTTTTGTGCTTATTCAGAGCAGTCAGTTCAAGTGACAAGTATGTTTGGTGAAACAAAGATGACTGCATTTTACTAAAAAATAGTGGAATAGTTATAAATATCACTTCTAAAGGGCATATACTGTTGAAGGGAACACTGAGCATGTACTCTCATGTTGCTAACAACTACTATTCAAATTATTGTAGTTGACTTCCATCCATAAATTTTTACTTCATTGAAATGAAATACCTGAGCAGTAAACAAGAAATGCACAGTATTTAAACATACCTTTTTTTTTTTTTTTTTTAAATAGTATTGTCTGTAAATGAAGTTCTAAGCTTGGGCTTTTTGGTTCCAGAAAAGGCTTAATCTTTTCCCAAGTTCCTTGGAGATGAATAGAAGTGTGCTTTATAAGCTGAGTCTAACTCTGTGGTTTTAAATAGGGCTTTGGCATAAAATGTATTGTGTCAGATACTCTCTCTCTCTCTCAGACAAAAAGGATTAATAAAGTTTATTTTAAACCTGTCTCAGAGCCAAATAGAGTACGCTAGATGGATTTGAGGGGTGGCTTTTGGATGATTTGGCTTAAAATTTAAGTGAAATATTTGACAAAAAAAAAAAAAAAAAACAAAACCAAACCCAAATTTGAGGGGTGTAGGCTTTGGAAAGTAATTAATGTGGTCCAGGTCACTGGACTAACTTTAAAGCATACTTAAAACTTTAGTGGCATATTGCCAAAGCAGAAGTACGTAACTTTGAGGAAGAAAGGCCACTGCTTTTAGTTTAGGGAGGAAGATGCGACAGTGTGTACAAAGTACCCTCTTCCGTAGTATCATATTCTGGAACATGCATGATTTAGCTGCTTCCTGAGCTAGCCTTTATTTCAGAACCACAGTGCTAAATAACCATCAGTAACCACACTCACCTCTCTATTCATCTAGTATTTTTTGTCATTAAGTAGGCTTGGTCTTCAGAAAGGCCTGTGGGAATCAGTTTCACAGTTTTTTATTGTGCTTTGTGAACAGAAGTTTGCTGCTGTTTTAAGCATTCAGTAATATTAGATGGTAGGCCTATGTGTTTAATTATTAATAAGGCCAAAGTAGGCCCCAAAATATTTATTTTTTTATTGGCGAGTAGAGACTGTTGCTCAAACATAGGAATCCTTGGCTTTAGACGATTATATATAAGATTTAATCCTTTAGTTTGACCTCTTACACAGAATATTTGCAAAGTTTATTTTATCAAGTTACAGGTTTATAAAGGTTATACAATTATGTTACACTTCTTGCTTTAACAACTAGTGCTTTGAGTTTTAGGATGAGAAAACATCTTCCTGTGAGGCAAGTAGATTTTAACTTATATGGTAATATGCAACATTTTCAGTACAGAAATGGAGTTTGGTAGAGTTGCCAGCTCTTTTAGATCCTTTGCAAAGCCCTGTGCTTTGAGTTATTCTGAGAATCTTATTTTCTAAACTTCAGGTTTAGGAAGAGTAATAGGAAGTCGGAACTTCAACACAGCTCTCAATTTGAAGAGATAAAAGTCACCCAACCTTACTTCCACCCCCTGACTCTCTCAGATTCCAGGGCCCAGTTTGTGAGATCAAAAGCAGTACACAGTACTCACTACTTTATTCTCTCCTGAGTAGAGAAGAACCTCAGGTACACAGACTGGGAGTATGAGAAGACAACCTGTTAATTGGGTCTTTGGGTTCATGAGTGGCTTTCCATTAGTTTCGTCAACACACTTAGCAGTCCAGTTTTTTTAGGCAAGGTCTTTTACCTAAACTGAGAGTCTATGTTTAAGTTACTTACATAAAGTATCTTTAAGGTGACTGTTAGAGTAGAATTTTTTAAAGAACTGTTGGATACTGTGTTAGTCACTCAAGTTCTGATGTCAAATACATTAAGCTTTAGACTATACAGAAGTATAGAGCTGAGAGGAGCCTCAGGAATATTCTTTTGCACTGGAAGCAGAGCTAAATATAGCTAGATGATTGCTTAGCAGATTTCATCTAATGCGTTCAGAACTTTCCAACAGCAGGAATGCTGTTTTTTCTAGATACCCCACCTAAGTGCTTAGTCTTTCAAGTTAAGACTTCCTCCCTAGGGTTCAACTT